CCTGCACGCCAGCCGCGGCTCTGCTGGGCACATGGGTGGTCTGTGAACAGGGGCGTGGGGGACAGTCCTGAGCCAGGCGTGGCCTCACCCCAGTGGCTGCCACTGGCACCTGTCTGCAGCATGGTGGCGCTCCCTGATCCGGGAGGGGCCGATGGTGCCCCCTGCCAGCCCTCGGCCTCAACACGCAAAGACACGTGTGCCCTAGGCACAGTCCCCTGCACAGGGCCAGTGTCGGCCAGGAGCTGGGAGAGCACCCAGCTTCCTTGCCCCTGGGTGGGATACCGTGGAGGCTCGTTCTTTGTCTCCCAGAGGTCCCAGCAGGGACGGATCCCAGCTGCCACTTGCTGAAAACCCACCGTATTTGGCTTTGCCTTCCTGCCCACCACCACAAATGACTCTGCTCAAAGCCTTGCCTCAGGCTGCCGGGCTGAGCCTTCTCCACAGGGCTGCACCCCAGCCCTGCAGGCCTCTGGGCTTGGCTTTGGTCCGGCTCCTCTCCACCCCCCTCACCGTGACTCTTGTCCCCCACGGCCCCTCCCTTGAGCCACCACGGCAGCTCGGTTCCCAACATAACAAAGGACCTGGGGCCCCCCAGATTCTTGTAGAGTGTGTCACGAGTAAGATAACTCAGAATAGCGCACGGCCTGGGAAGCCTCTGGTTTTCCCAGGGGCTGTTCCCCAGGGCAAGGACAACCCGGCCTACGGTCCTGTGCCCAGCTCGTGCACTCTCCTTCCTGTCCTGGGGCCAGGCTGGGTGTCCACTGCACCCCTCACTCACTGTGTGACTATGAACCAAGCACATGGCCTCTCTGAGCCTCAGTTTCTCTACGTGCAACAGAGGGATGTTTGCTGTGCTGCTCTCTGAAGCAGTTTCAGGGCTGAAGTGTGATAAGGGATCGGAGAATATCCCGTGATCTTAAAGCACTGTGTTAAGAGGCAGGAAGGAGGCAGGAAGCCGGCGGAGGCCCTGCTGCACGCCCTTCCTGTCCACAAGCCCAGGGCCATCACCATTGTCACTCCCATTCTATGGATGCAGAAACTGAGGCCCAGCGAGGCATCAGGGCTGCCTGAGCTCACGGGCTGGCAGTGGGCAGGTGGGGGCCCAGGCTCTGCCCAGTTGACAGTGAGGCCTAGTCAGTTTTCCTTTCTTCCATGTGGCTTCAGAAGATACTAGAAACTAAGAATGAGCACCTTTTGAATTATTCAATAATGCCTAGAACAGTTAATGGTATGTAGTAGGTGCTCAATAGATGTGTGGGTGAATGAGCAAGTGAATAAATGAAAACCATAAAGATAGGAAGACCTATGTAGGCACATGCTTTCTGCCCATGCAGCTCAACAGAGGAAGCCCAGCTCCCAGTGGGGGGTGGGCCTGCTGCACCCAGGGAGGAAATAAGTGTGGTGGGGAAGCAGCTAGAACAGGCCAGGGGGCCTGATCTCAGATGGCCAGTGACTAGGCTGCAAGGACACTTGGGTCCCTCTTGGGAGGTTCCTGCTGGGGAGAGAGCCCGCCCTGCCTCACACGGGCTTTCTCCATCTCAGGTGACCTCGATGGAGGTATTGTGCTGGCGCTTTCCTCATCTCATCTTGTAGATGCCCCGGCAGCCACGGGAAGATACTGTTATTCCCCCTACAAAAAAGGGGGAACTCAGCCGTAGTAATGGGAGGCAATTTGCCCAAAGTCACACAGCAAGGGCAGAGTTTGGGAGCCCGCGGGGCATTTCTGACATTCAAACCAAGTTTGGGAGAAAAAGCTCTCAGTGGATGGCGGAGTCTCCAGCAGCAGCCCTGGTATGACATAAGGGACCCTTGGGCTGGGCCAAAGTCAGTGTCCCCACCAAGAGGGTGTCTTTCTCCACTGCATGTTCCAAAGGACATGGCATGGACAGGCAACAAAAGCCCCATTGGAGAGTGCAGCTGTGCGGCTGGGGTGTTTCTTGGTTGATTTATTGGGGTGGGATGGGAGAAAGAAGGACAGAGTCTCCTTATGAATCTGCGGGTTGTTTTCCTGCCTGGGGGGAGGGCAGGGAGGGATTGGATTTCCATGCAGAGGCACTTTCTCATCTTCATCGCACAACACTAGCTCACACTCAGTGCAGACCCTCCCTCCGGCCGTGCAGTTTGCAGGACGAAGCTGCTCTTTGTGGAGCAGCAATCCCAGCTGAGCTGCCACTGGTTTACCCTCCGCTCCAGGCTCAGACCCACTTTTCCAGATTCATCCTGCCCTGGACAGGTCTGTGGACACGGTAGATGATGTACCAGTGCTGTTTTCGGAGGACACTGTGCCTCCAGCTCATTGGGCGATGCGGCCCCGGGAAGGAACATCGCAGAGGCCCTCCAGCCTCAGTTTCCTCATCTGCTGACTCAGGGAGGTGACAGCTCTCTCAGTTCACAGGCTGGATGTGAGAACCAGATGAGAACTGTGGTGCCGGAGATGACCTGGGACGAGGGGCAAAGGAATGAATGTTAACACAAAGTCTTGTTAGGCAGACAGAGAGGGGCCTCTTAGCCCCTCCTGGGGACAAAGGCGGGTGCCCCAACAATCGCCACACCTGGGGGAGGAGGGAACACCCTGCCGATCAGAACTTAGCGTGCCAACTGCAGAAGAATACAGAGGATTCCCCAGCCCACGGCGGGCCAAACAGCACAGGTACAGTAGGATCTGGAAGGTGACCCAGAACAACCTAAGGCTAATTATCATGTCATCAGCTTAAATCTACATCGCAGTGCACCCGCCTAATGGGCTTTCAGAGAGGCTCATGGGAAATCCGCATGCGTACTACGACCCAGGTTATGTAACTCCCAGCTGTCCATCGAAGTGGTGCAGTGGTAACATTCGATCCACAAGGAGGGCCAGCCTAGACACTATAAAACAGGACCCCAGACCATAATTGGGGCACTCCTGTTAGGACTGGGGCTCTGTTTGTTGTGGTGAATGTATCTTGCTCTTGCTCTGTGAACCTATCTTGTCCCTCCTCAATAAACTTCGTTTCACGTTTGCCTTGCTTTTGGTGTGTCTGGTCATTCTTCTGCCGAGAACACACCAAGAACTGAGAAGGAGATGGCCGACCCGACAGTCTCACGTGCTGACTTCCACACGACAGATTGAGGTAGGCAGCCTTCTAAGATGACCCTGAGATGGAGCAGGGACCCCTCTTAGGGGCCAGGGACCCCTCTTAGGGGCCAGCTGGGCCCCTCGAGAACAGAAATAATAAGCATATGAGAAGATCCTCAACATCGCTGATCATTAGGGAAATGCAAATCAAAACAGCAATGAGGTATCACCTCACCATTAGCCTAGCCATTAGGGTAGCTACTATCAAACCAAACAACCCAGAAAATAATGCGTTGGTGAGGATGTGGAGAAAATGGGAACCCTTGTGCACTGCTGGCAAGAATGTAAAAAGGTCAGCTGCTGTGAAAAACAATATAGTGGTTCCCCAAAAAACTAAAAATAAATTACCACATGATCCAGCAATTCTATTTGTGGGTCTGTATCCAAAAGCATTGAAAGCAGAGTCTCGGAGAGATATTTGTACATAGCAACATTATTCATAATGGGCAAATGGCGGAAGCAACCCAGCGTCCACCAGTGGATGAAAAGATAAGCGAAATGTCATGCGTAAGTACAGGGGAATATGATCCAACCCTACAAAGGAAGGAACTTTTGACACATGCTACGGCATGGATGAACCTTGAGACATTATGATACATGAAATAAGCCAGGCACAAAGGGACAGACACTGTGTGATTCCACTTATATGGGGTACCTAGCATAGTCAAAATTATAGAAAGGAGAATGGTGGTTGCCAAGGGCTGGGAGGTGGGGGTAATGGGGAGTTAGTGTTTAATGGGGACAGCGTTTCAGTTTCGTGAGATGAAAACAGTCGTGGAAACAGATGTTGGTGATAGTTGCATAGTGTTATGAATGTATTTAATACCACTCAGATGTACACTTAAAAATGGTTAAGATGGTAAATTTTATATATATTTTAACCCCCGCAAAAAAGGGGCAAAAAAAGCAAAGAGATCTGGCAGGGGGAGGTCAGAGAGATTTGGAGCATCGTTTTGCATTTTCAAGCAGCTCATTTGAAGCATGACAAGGACTCAGTGTGCTCTTGCTGGCTTTGATGGGGGAGGGGATAGATCCATCATGGAAGGAATGCAGTGGCCACTCCAAGATAAGAATGACACCCAGGCCACATCCGGCAAGAAAACATGGACCTCAGTCCTAGCCCCACGGGAACAAATTCTGCCAACATCCTGGCTGAGCCTGGAAGTCAATTTTCCCCTGAGTCTCCAGATAAGAGCTCAGAGACACTTTGACTTTGGCCTTGTGAGGCTCTGAGACAGGAACCCAGTCAAGCCACTGGCCTTCTGGCCTCCAAGACTGAGAGATAATAAAGCGGAGTTGTTTTATGCTAAGTTCCTGGTAATTTATCACTGCAGCAAGAGAGAACAATACAAGCTCTTTACATACTAATTTTAGATATGTTGTAAAGTATCTTTTTCAAGTGTGTCATTTGTGCTTTTAAACTTTACCCTTAATTCCATTTAATTTTCCCAATTTCATTATCAGAGGGTAAACTCGAGTTCCATTTTGGGGGTGTCCCTTGAAGTCACCCCCATGTACCCAGTACCTACATGCATCAGAATCATCCTGAATCCTTGTTAAAACACAGATTCCTGGGCCCTGCGCCCAGAGTTTCTGATTCAGCAGGTCTGGAAGTGCCCAAGCTGTGCATTTGGGAAGAGTTGGTTCGAGACCGCCCACTGCTGACGACGCACCGCTCCCCCGCCCTCGGGGCGTCCTCCAGCCGCAGGTGCCGCCCCTCCCCGGGTCCCTCCCCGGGTGTTAGAAGGTGAGCCCCGCCTCCGGGGGCGTGACTCTCGAAGCCCCGCCCCACGCACGAGACCTCCGTTCTCATTGGCTGGTAGTGAAGAGCGTCACGTGCGGTGCTCCGCGCTCCTCCTCCAAACGCCAGGGGCCGGGCGCTGCGCCTGCGCAGTGGGGGCGGGCGCTCGCGGGACCCGAGCTTCTGTGAGGGTCGCGTCCTGAGCGTCGGATGGCGAAGCCCGGGGCGGAGTCGGACCCCCTGCTGGGCCGCGCCCGCGGCGGCAGCGGCGACTGCCCGGCGGGGCTGGCCACTTGCCGCAGCGTCCAAGCCAGCCCTGGTGAGCGGCCCGGGCCCGGGACAGGGGAGCCTGAGAGGTTTGGAGCATCCCGGGCACCGGGTCGTGCGTGGGCGTCCTGCGGCCACCGCAACGCGCGTCGCGGCCGGGCGCGCCCACACCGGCCGGGCCGAGCGGGCGCCAGCGGAGCCGCTTGTCTGAGGGCGACTGGGCTGCGTCCGAGGCCCCGGCCCGGGGTGCGGGCGCAGTCGGGATCGCGGGGCGTAGACCTGGGGCAGCCCCCTGCGGGCCGGGCCGGGCCCACACCCTGGAAGCAGAACTTTTATTTTTTTCTCGTTTCTGACGGGGAAAGCTGAGGCTCAGAGACAGCGTTACGGTAGCCAGGGTCACACAGCCAGTGAGTGGCCGAGCTGGGATTCAGCCCGGCTGGGAGCGACCTGCCAGTCCTTTCTGCAGCGCCGCTCCTGGTCCCACTTCCGTGGGGTGGGCCCGGGACCGGGCTGCGGTGGCTGCGGCTGCTTGCCTTGCGCCAACCCCAGCGTCCTCTCCCCACCTCCTCCCTGCTCTTCCTGTTTACCTCCTGGCTGAAGATTGCTGAATCCCTTCGGGGAGGGTGCGGCCATCCATCCCTGGCTGACATCTGTGGGATTAGGTGCTGAGTTAGAGGCAGAAGGGGCTCAGCTTCATTTTGCAGGTGCGGAAACTGAGGCCCAGAGATGCCCCGAGACCTGCCCAAGGTCACAGCGCTCTGTTCCGGTGCAGCTGCTGCTAGTACCACTCTTGGTGTTGGTGCCCGGGCCACTTCCCTCTCTAGACTCCTTTTTCCTCCTCTAACTGGAGGGTACCCGGTTGGAATCATGGTCCCCACCCACTGGTCTGTATCCTGGGCCCATCCAGGACCTGACAGAGTTTGATGATAAAACTAGAGGCCGAGGTGGCCAACCCTGTCTGCCCACCTCAGAGGCTGCCCCCAGGAAGTTCTGCAGTTGTCTCCTGGGACCAGTCAGGAATGAGGTCTGCAGGGACAAGGTCTTGCAGGTCCCTTGACAAGACATGTAAGACATGGCAGTGTTCAGGGGATGCAGACTTTTTCTTTTTTTTTGAAACAGAGTCTCACTTTGTTGCCTAGGCTAGAGTGAGTGCTGTGGCATCAGCCTAGCTCACAGCAACCTCAAACTCCTGGGCTCAAGCAATCCTCCTGCCTCAGCCTCCCGAGTAGCTGGGACTACAGGCATGCGCCACCATGCCCTGCTAATTTTTTCTATATATTAGTTGACCAATTAATTTCTATTTATAGTAGAGACGGGGTCTCGTTCTTGCTAAGGCTGGTTTTGAACTCCTGACCTTGAGCAATCCGCCTGCCTCGGCCTCCCAGAGTGCTAGGATTACAGGAGTGAGCCACCGTGCTGGGCCTGACAGACTTTTGAGTCTGGAGGTCTAGGTGCATTTCTGGGGCTGCCCCTTCCTGGCTGTATGACCTAAAATAGGGGCATTGTGAGAATTCAGAGAGATGCAGAAGTTGCCCTTAGCACAGGGCCCAGTGGGCCAGTGTGGGGTGCCGATGGCCGCCCGGGGTAGGAGTCCATTAGTTATTGCAGGTCCTGGCCCTGGCAGAGCAGGCGTCTGGCAGATGAGACCTGCTCTGTTGAGATAGGGGCCAGGGCTTGACAGTGTGGCTGGCAAGAGGGGACTCTTGTTGGGGGGGCTCTTTGTCCCCACACTGTGGCCTCGGTGAGGGCTTCTGAGAATGTGCACAGGACACTCTGTGTTCTGACTCTTCTTGTCCAGGGTGTCTGGCTGGGCTCACGCAGCACGGGAGCAGTGGAGACTGAAAGGCTCATTCAGTCTGTGCCACCGCCTGTGTGGGGCTCTGAGACAGGGGCCCTGTGCTCTGGGTTCACAGGTCCTGCTGCTACTGGGTGCCCTGAGGACCCCAGTGGACCCTGCAGTCGGGTCCTTCTAACTCAGCCCCAGCTGATGTGGCCATGGCCAAAGGTTGAGAACAGTTGCTTTCTCTTGTTCCTGGGTCAGAAAACACCCTTTGACTGATTATGGAAAATTCGGAGGATAAGGGATTGCTATGCCATGAAGCTTTTAGACTAATAGGAAACATTTATGAAGTGCTTGCTTTGCAAAGCACTCTGGCTTCAGTAGCCAGTTCAATCTATGTGTAACTCCTGTTGGGTGGGGTCTGTGAGGAACCAGGGCACAGAGGGGTTGAAGGACTTGCCTGGGGTCATAGAGGACGCTGGCCAGGGCCCTACAGCAGGGCAGGTGGAGCAGGTGCAGCCTGGAACAAGAGGGGAGCGGAAGTTTAGACCCGGGTGTTGGGGAGCAGAGGCTTAGGGCAGGGAGATCAGTCCAGGGCTGAAGTGTGGGCTATAGCCATTGAGCCCCCGTTGTCTTCTGTGCTCTGAGGCAACATTCTGACCTGCTGTGCCCCAGTGGGGTGATGGGTGTGACCTCAGGGCAGGGTGAGCTGCCCCAGGGGAGTCCCTGGACCCACAAGTTGGAGGACGGTGCTCCTGGCAGAGGCCACAGCCTGGGCAGGGGCTTGGTGGCTTTGGAGAGCAAGGCCTTGGCAGAGCCAGGTTTAGAATGTGAGTGGCATGGAGGGCGCGAGGTGGGGAAGCATCGGGGGAGGAGGTGAGTAGGTGGACCTGGGGTGCCAGGCTGTGGGGGGAGTGTGGACCTGCCCAGTAGGGCCCTGTGGAAAGCCATGATGTGCTCCTGAGTGTTTGTGACGAGATCCTCAGGCTGCTGCAGGGTGGGGCACCGGGCAAAATTGGGTGGCCAGACCTAGAGTTTTAGAAAGCAGCAACCAAAAAGCCAGGCATAAGGGAATCATGAGTAGCTGCTAGGCAGTTTCAGGGGTGCCCCCCCCCCCTTTGCCTGTGATGGCTTGCATGGGTGGTTGTGAGCCTCTTCCGCAGTTCTGGGACTGGAGTGATTCCCGGGCCCTTGGCTGACTTTTCTTGTCTGAGATTTTGTCTCTCCCCAGGGAATTTGGTAATGTGGGGACTCTAGACCACCTGCCCTCCAGGCTCCACTCAGGGCTGTTCATTTACTCAAGGGCTGTTCATCATGGTGTGTCCGAGCCCTGTGCAGGCCTGGGCTGTGTAGCTACAGCAAGGAGCAAAACAGTGTGGCTGCTGTTCACAGCTTTCCCAGACGCTTTTAGGGGATCCCACCACCTTCGGAGATTCTTGGGAAAACATTTCGGAGTCCTCGGGGTGAACCTTCTGGTTGTACATGTGGGGAAACCGAGGCCCAGACAGAGGGAAGGTGCTTGTTCTAGGTGACACAGCAAGGCCGTGGCGGAGCCAGGATGGGGTCCAGCCTCCTGCCTCTCTCTCCAAGGTCACCCACATTTCCGATCAGTCCCTGTGCCCAGCTGCCTCTGCCTCATGTCCCCCTGTACAAGCCCTGGGACAGGAGCAACTGCCTCCCCAGGGATGACGGGCAGTGTGGGCTGGCACCTCATCTCCAGGCCCCGACCTGTGAGCTGCCCAGGGCTCCCAGGCCACCGGAAGTGGGACGTCAGCCTCCCGGCTGCTCTGCTGCTGTGGGCCTTGGCTCCCCAAGCTTCCCCTCTCCCTTTGTTGCACAGCAGCTTCTGCTGGGGGTGCCCAAGCCCACCTGCAGTGATGACCCAGTGTGCCGGCTTGCAGTTCCTGGGCTGGTGTGTTGGGACCTGGCTTTTCTGCCGCCTGACTTTTCCGGAAGGCTCCTCATAGTCAGGAGCCAACTGCTACCCTTGCCCAGGCCCGCTGGGAGACGTTGTGCCATGACAACTCAAGTCTTTGGTTGGTGGCCGCTGCCACCCTTTGCCAAGGAGGGTGCTGGCAGAGGCCTGGGGGACTCGGATGCTGCCTGGGTGCTGACCCTGGGGTCACCTGATCCTTTGGACTGTGATGTGCAGGGATGGGACCTTGGTAGTTTCAGTGTTGGAGAGGAGTCAGGGCGGTACCTTCTGGTTCTAGAGGTCAGCTTTACATGTCAGTGTTAAATCCATGGTCTCCTTTGACAGAGTGTAGGCAGGACACTGGGTACAGCGTCCTGGCAAAGGCTGCGTGGGATTAGGCAGAAGAACAGTGATGGCAGTCGGTGGTTACTGAGCATGCTCCATTTCCAGGCCTGGCAGGGGGCTCCTGCACTCCCACCTTGCACCTCATGGCACCCTCTAGGAGCTGAGCGGGGCAGCCATTCCACCCCCATTTGACAGAGGAGGAGACACCCACAGTCTCCATGCCGGCAGGTGGGAGAGCCGGCCCTGAACCCCAAGTCTGGTCCAAGGCCCTGCAGAAGGTGCTGCTTCTCCTGGGCGCTGCCGGGTGCGTGTGCTGTCCACGCAGAGCTCTGCCCCCTGGGCCTGGTTCCTGTGCACGCACGCATCGGCTCCTCACCTAGTTTGGGCCCTGCCTGGGGCACCCGCAGTGCTGCCAAGGAGGGGTCCTGTCTTCTGGACACACTGCAGGGTGCAAGGCATCTCCTTCCAGATGGAGCCTTGGAAGGAGCCGCAGCCAGTTTCTATTCTCGGTCATGACTGTGCTGTAAGGGTGAGGCCACGTGATCCCATTCAGTAGCCCAATGTGTCCTCTTGGCCTGCAGGTGCTGTGGCCAGCTGGGGCCTCCGCATCGACCAAGCTGTGGTCTTCATCGAAGACGCGATTAAGGTGGGTGGCACCTGCACGCTGTGGCTGGGTCTGGGTGATGGCTGCCTGCTGGCCAAGAGGGGCCTTTCTGGCCCCTCCATCCTGCATTGTCCTGGGCCAAGGCCTCAGTTGCTGGACTTTTGGTTAGGATAATGGTGATGGCTGGGCCTTGGGCACGGCTCTCCTGAGTCCCCCGAGGGACGTCTTCTGAGTCCTGGAACCATTTGCTTCATTGACTTACCACTTTCCAAAGCCTGTCATGAACCACCCCATTCTAGGTCCTAGGTTGGGGGGCCAACCTGAAAGATGACCCAGTTGCCCTGGGGCTGGGAGGGTCGGCCTTGCAGGTAGAAGAGGGCCTTGTGGCAGACAGAGGACTCAGCTATACCTTCAGCAAATGCTCCCTGAGTTGTTTGCTCAGTGTACCTGCTGGCCCTGGGTGTCTGGCCCTCAAGGAGTGCTTGGTTTGCTGGGCACGCCTTGTAGCTTGTAATGGTCTGAGCCCGCTGGGTCAGGGCAGGCCTTGCCCACGTGCTGAAACAAGCCCTGCTGTCTGTAGCCCATCTCCCCACTCGGCCTGTCTCGGGGGAAGGGTGCACTGCCTGAGGCCGTGTGGTGAGGGGCACGGGCAGGGCACACAGCGTGTGCAGCACCCAGGGGATGCTGCTCATGCTCCTCTGTATGACCTTTTGTTTCCAGTACCGCTCCATCAACCACCGCGTGGACGCCCGCTCGCTGTGGCTTTACCGGTGGTATTACTCCGACCTGTGCCAAGGGTGAGGATGCACCCAGGCTTGCTTGGGGGCGGGAGGCTGGCCTCACTTGTGCTGGGGACCACAGCTGGCCTTGGGCTGGGCAGGCTCCCTTCCCCACAAGTGCAGAGGAGGCCGAGCCCCCTCCTCCCTGGAAAGGGGCCCAGTATGTAGCTGGAAGGGCTTGTTTGGTGGTGGGGGTTCCTTTGCAGAACACTTAGATCAGCCAAAAGCAATTGAGTTGTAAGCAGATCAGTGGTATTTGTAGTCATGATAGTCCACAACCCAAGCAGTGCTAGCTCCTGTCTGGACCGGTGAAGTCAGTTCTGCTCATCAGCCTCTTGACCACAGAGGGCTGAAGTTTCTTGCATTTTAACTAGTTTTGTCCTCTTTCTAGGACTTTGAACTTCGCTATTTACTTGATCCTGTCTTTGGCTTTTATTGAGACTCCCTCTTCGCTCAGTAGAACAGCGGACGTGCGCTACCGCTCCCCGCCCTGGGAGCCTCCGTGCGGCCTGACGGAGAGCGTGGAGGTGCTCTGCCTGCTGGTCTTCGTGGCCGACCTCTCCACGAAGGTGAGGGGCGCCAGCCCAGGCGCCGTGGCCCTCTGCACTCCCTGCACTGGCCCTGGCCATCCTGCCCCTGACCATGTCTTTCCTCATGGATTTCTGATGCTGCTGAGCTGGCTGCCAGCTTTTGGCTGCACTGTGACCCGCTGAGCAAAAGCCAGGGTTTCCTGGGCAAGTCTGGGCCCTGCCGCAGAGGCTGTGTCAGCTCTTCTCAGAAGTCTAGGCTGTGTGGGGCTGGGGTGGTGGGGTGGCACAGCCTAGTAGGGCCTCTGGGGACGGTCCAGGGTCTGGCAATGCCACTGTGAGGAGAGATCCGAACAAGTGAGGACCAGGTGGTCTCTACACGGCTCACCCTGCCACCCCCAGGGGAGGAGGAAAGGACCTGGGCGGGGCAGAAAGGGGTCTCTTGCCCACACAGCAGCTCCTGCATGTCCGACTGGATTCTGTCTGTGACCCACGTCCTTCTGGAAGCTGGGGATGTGCCCTCCCTTGTTCATTTGAGCTTCTGAGCCTTGTCAGAGCCTTAGTGACTTTCCAGTGAGGCTCAGGGTCCGGTGTGGGCCACACGTTCTATTGCCCGATTCCAGCGCTGTGGTCCCAGGGCTGCCACGTCCACATCCACATCCACGGCGTGAGGTTGTGCCCCTGGCTGCTGCCTTCCACAGGGTCAGCCCTGCTGCTCCTCGGCTTGGCCTGTGGGCTCGAGTGGCCTCCCAGTCACCGTCACGTGGTGGCTTTGTCTAGTGCTGCCTGGCACTCCCCTGTGGGAGGGATGGCTTGTGTGCTGACTGAGGGGTGTGGCTGGACCCTGGTGTGTGTCATTGCAAGCCATGGGCAGTTTCTTGTTTCTTCATTTTTAGCCCGTTGTGTGATTAGCAGGTTTGGGGGTTTTAAACTGGAACTGAAACTGATGAGAAGTTGTCATTAGCATTTTTTGAATGATTGGCACTTCTGTGAAGTCTCAAAAGGTGACAGAGAGCATGTTTGCAAGCTGTGACCTCTGGAGGCAGGAAGGCCATTACAAAACTATTCCCAGTTTTGGGGAAGCTGAGGTCAGAGAGGTTAGGTGCTGTGCCTGAGGGTACACAGCAAGTTGCTAGTCACTGAGACAGGCTCTCTGGCCCCTCATCCCTGCGCAGCTCCTGCTTCTCCACAATGTCACGGGGACGAAGCTCTGTGTGCTCTGTCCGCACTGATCCCTGCTCGTTCCCACTGACGCCCTCCAGCTGGCTGCAGGGCCAGCGTCTGTGTGGCTGCTTGCTGGCTCACCCCCATCTCTCTTGCAGGGCTACCTGTTTGGGCGGGCCCATTTCCAGAAGAACCTCTGGTTGCTGGCCTACCTCGGGGTGCTGATTGTGTCTCTGGTAGACTGGACCGTGTCTGTGAGTCTCCTTTGTCGGGAGGTAGGTGATAAGGCAGGGAGCCCTGCTAGGGTGTGGGCGTGAGGTACAGCTGCCCAGGTGAGCAGTGGGATAGGGGTCCACGGCCTGCAACTGCCTGGCACTGCTTACTTTCTGTGGAACTTACGTCCCCCATTGGTCTGGGAGCCTAGTCCCCACCTTGCAGCTGCAGACACTGGGGCCGAGAGAAGGCCTGAGGGTCCCGGTGAAGGGAGGACATGGGAGCAAGTCCCGGGGCCCCAATCCTCAGCTCTGTACTTTTCAGCTGAATTCCTCAACTGGCCGAGTCCCCCATGAAGGCAACACCCAGGGCCTCACCGTGCCCGATAGTTGCATGCCCAAAGCTTTGTGGGGCCTGGCAGTGTGAAAACCCACTTTCCCGCTGCCCGCGAGCCTCTCCACTGCAGAATGTTTCCCCTCAGAGTGCCCAGAATCACCTCTCCGTGGTCTGGTAGGACGGAGCTGGGCAAGGTCGGTGTGCAGCCAGCAGTCCCCATCAGGGTCTGTCAGGGACGCAGAACACCCCCCCCCCCCAGCTGCTTCAGTAGAGAGAATTGAACATAGGGACTTAGGTGTTAAGTAACCAAAAAAAGTGAACTGGGAACCCAACGGAACACAGCAGAACAGCAGGAAGCAGCCCCTCCCCTGGGCTGGGGGAACGCAGGGAGAGGTTGGGGTTATTAGCACCTGGATGCCCAGGGGTGGGGCCCATAGAGCTGGGACCCTGCCCTCTGCCCTCCGGGAAAGGGTGCTGCCCCGTGGGTGCTGGGGCCTTCTGGAGGCCTGGTGACGTTGGTTCCAGGAGTGCTGACCAGGGAGGCTGGAAGCTCTGGGCTCAGCCAATAGGAATAGCCCGCGATAGGAAGGGCGTGAGCCGCATCCTCACCTCCTGCCTGGAAGCCTCCCCCAAGGCCCTTGCTGGCAGCACCTGAAAGCTGCTGCAGGGGAGAGAAGTGGTGGGGTGTCAGCCCCAGCAGCACAGCTGAGCCGGAGGGTGGGTGGAAGGCTCAGCTTCTTGGTCTCCACAGCCTCCTCCTGTGTCCATGCACGAAGCTTCCTGCCTGCTAAGATGCAGCCCTCCTCCCTGCAGAGGGAGGGGCTCCCATGCCCTCCCCAGAAAGGGGAGAGGGGCAGCCCAGCAGCTGCCATTTCTGAGTCACGGGCACGGTACTGTTGGCCTCTGGATGTTCTATGACTTACAGGCCAAACTGTAAACTACCACTGGGAATCCTTATGTGAAATTAGGAGGGGCAAGGAGGGAGGACAGAGATTCATTAATATACATAGACACATGTGTACGTAACCAGCTGGGGAGAAAACATGTGTAGCTAACAGTGCTGGTTTTGCTCTGGCTGTGGGCCTTACTGCTATTCCTAACCCTTCCTGCCATCCGCTCCACGGTCCCTTTGCCTCATCCACTTCCCCAGGTGGTCTGGGTTCTTCACCCTCATTCCTGAAGGACTGAGTCCTCAGTGGTCCTGGTTGTTTTTGATGGCTGGAGTTCTCTGCTAATTTTTCCTGTTGGATGTGGAGTAGTAAGAGATGCCCCAGAAGACTCCCAGCCTGCCCTCTTTGCTGCTCTCGGGGGCAGCATCTGTCATTGGAAATTGGAATCCTTCACCCCCCAGCACATCAGCCCTGTTCCATGAACAACTTGTGGTCTAACCCAGTGGGTCCAGCCGGAATCATCCCCCTCCGGAATGGATAGTTCTAGACCAGGGGAGCGCAGAAAGGTGGGCGTGGGAAGTGGAGATGCTGCCACTTGCATCTCCTCACCTGGGTCCAGTGAGTCCTGGCTGGGGGAGGAATAGCCCTGCCGAGTGGCCAGGGGTTCAGAGCCTGTGCTGTGCTCTGTAGCCCACAGCTGGCAGCGTCACTGAGTCTCCCTAAGACTCTTGCATCCGTCCTGCAGGCCAGCTGCTGTCGAGGAGTACTGGGCAGCGCTGTAAGATGCATTTGACCTGAAGTGGCGTTTGCAGGGCTGTGAGGTGGTGGCTGATTCCCCACCAAGTTCATCCAAAGCATGATGGATGGGTGCCAGGATGGAAAGGAACCCAAAGCAATGCTAGGAGAGGCAGCACTGCCACTTTATGCAGAGACAGCAGTGGGGGGCAGCCAGCAGGCTATGGCTGGTAGGCCTGGGGTGGGCTGGAGTGGCGTGGGGGGCCTGCTTCTCTGGGCCCTGCGGGCTGGCAGAGCCTGGCAGCCGTCAGAGGTGTTGGTTTTGCACAGGGAGCTGACAGGGCGAGACTGGAGCTGAGAGCTTGGATTTGAGATCGACTGTGGGAGGAGCCCAAAGCGTAAACGTGATACTTAAAGTCACAAAGATGGATGAGCTTGAGTCAAGGGTGTAAGGCTAGAGGGAGGAGATGAGGGGTGCAGGCAGTGGGGACTGGTTGGAGGCTTAGGGAACGTGTGGGCAGCCTATCTGGTGCTGAGAGCACGAGGCAGGGCCAGAAGGCGTTTGTGGGTTTAGTGACCTGGAAGTTAGTGTGGGTGGGTCCTGGTGCCTGGTAGAGGAGGATGGGTTGGGACAGGAGCAGGGAAGTGTGGAGTGAGTGAAGGGGAGAGGAGGGAGGGTTTGGTGTGAGTTGAAGGTGTGGTCACAGTGGGGGAGTGGGGAGGTGACAGCCAACCCTTAGGAGGGCTGGGTGGCTTCCAAGAACGGCAGGTGGTGGGCTGTACAGGGGCCCACAAGGAAAGCGGGGAAGGAGGGGATGGTGTGTGTGAGTGTGGGGAGTGCAGTGTGTGAATGTGGGGGTGGGGGACTCTTGGGGACAGTGTCTGTCTCTGGGAAGGGAGGAAGGAGAGGAGTGGTTGAGGGAAGAGGCAGGGACAGTCCCCTGAGAGGTGGGCAGCAGCTTAGTGGGGGTGTGAGGGCAGTTGGGTGCTTTGAGGGCAGGCGGCAAGGGCTGGAAGGAGGCACGCCAGCCACCACTGTTTCTGGCTGTGCCCTGGGTGGGCGTGGGGGGACAGGCTCTGGCATGGACTGGGACAGAAGTGCTGGGTCGGGGAGCCTGAGACCACAGTGCCCAGGAGTCAGAGACACAGGTGGCAACAAGGAGGGAGAGCGGCAGCATGTGGCCTGGGAAGGGCCTCAAAGCCAGTTCTGGAACCCAGGCGCCCGACTCTGAGCCCGGGGCTTGCAGGGTGGCCCCGGGGGCACTGGGGTCTCTGGTCCGTTTGCCCCCATGGTGGCAGGTGTGGGGTGGTACTTAGGACACAGGCGGGTTCTCAGTCGCCCGGTTCTCTCACAGCCCCTGCGTGTCCGCCGGCTCCTGCGCCCCTTCTTCCTGCTGCAGAACTCCTCCATGATGAAGAAGACCCTGAAGTGCATTAGGTGGTCGCTGCCGCAGATGGCCAGGTGGGCTCTTGAGGCCTTCGGGGTGGGCCATGCAGTGTGGGGCTCCTCCGCAGCTGTGCTCAGACCTGGAGGGGGTCCGAGAGGCCCCCTGGACGCTCTCCAGCGCCGGCTCCCTCCGGGCTGGTGGGGAAGCTGGTGGGTGGGCGTCCTGGGGCCTCTGGTTCCAGTTTGAAGGTTGGGAGCCCTGTGAATACTCCTCGCAGTGGGTCTGCTTGTCTCCTGTTGCCCCGTGACCACCCCCTCCCCTCTGCTGTCTCCTGCCACTCCACGTGGTGTTGGCATGCCCTCAGTGTCGGCTTCGTAGGGCCGAGCTGCTCCTGATGTGGTTCCTGCACCAGCAGAGGGCTGGGGCTCTTGCCTGCATTCCAGGCCCAGCCTCTGTCCAGCCTCCACCCCCCGGAAGCCCCATCCTCTCTGTCCTTGCCAGTGGCCGTGCCACTGTGTCCCCTGTGGTTCCTGTGCCTGACCGCCTCACCACCCAGCCCAGAGTGATGGAAGCGGCCACTCTGCTCTGAGGGTCCCTGGTCCTTCATGCTGCTGCTTCTGGGGCCCCCGGGCTTGTGTCTGTCCCTGCCAAAGAAAGGGGGTCCCACTAGCCAGGACCAGGCCTGTCCTAGACCCCATGGCTGAGCACGAGGCAGGTGCCTGGGGGAGAGGGCGGGACCGAGCTGCTGCCGTGTGTGCTCCCCTCCTGAGCCTCGGGCTGTGGGTGGCGCTCTGTCCTGTGCTGAGTGCACGTGTCCTCCCCCAGTGTTGGGCTGCTGCTGGCCATTCACCTGTGTTTCTTCACCATGTTTGGGATGCTGCTGTTCGCTGGCGAGAAGGTGAGGTGCCTGGCGGGCCTCGTGATGGGATGGATGGGCTGGGCTGGCGTCATCTGTGCTCGCTCGCTTAACCCAGTGCAAGCTCTGTGTGCTAGTTCTTGGCCCAGGTCTGCAGAGATTGAGGACCAGGTTAGGCCACCTGCCACGAGACACCCTTCCCTTCCTCCCTCCCCATCTCCCTGTCCCCCTTCCAGCCTCCCTGCTCCTCCCACCCAAACTTTGTTCCTTCCTCTCCCTCCCTCTTGCCCTCCCTTCCCCCTCCCTCCTCCTTCCTGTGTCCCTCCTTGCCCCTCCCTGCTGGGTGGTTCACTGAGGGTGATTCTGCTGGTTCATCCTCCAGCCCCTGTCACACCTGCTGACACCTGGCGTTCCCTGCACCCCTTCTGGACTGCAGCTCCCAGTCCTCCTGGATTGTGACACTGGCTTACTGGGCTGGCCCCACCCTTGAACCCTCTTCCCGCTCTTGTCTCCACATCCTCTTCTCTAGCCGCCTTGGCACCCCCCTTGCTGCCCCCCAACCACAACCTGCGATGCCACGTGTCTGTCCTGTGCTGGCCAGGGTCACTGTCCTCCTCAGTGTCGGGGCTGGTGCTTCTCTCCAGCTTTGTCCTGGGAATGTGGGTGGTGCTGGGCCAGGGCTGGTCTTCACGAGTCTGCGGTAATATTTGGGGTTGAGGCCGTGCCACCCAGGAAGGGAGGACTGAGGATTGCGCCTTCTAACCCTAGATGGAAGCAGTCAGCTCTGCGGGGCCGCAGCGCCTATGCGCGTACGTGTGTATCTGTGTCTGTATGTCTGCAGGGGTCTCTGTGTGTGTGTATTTGTGTGTGTCTGTGTGTGTCTGGGTGGCTGGGGCACCTGGGCTGCTGTGGGGGGAGTAGCCGATGGAATCTCAGTGATGGCTGCGGTCACTGCTGTTTCCCAGAGCTCAGGACGGGTGGCCAGAGTCGTCTTGGGGACTGGAGGTGGTGACAGTCTTGGCCTCAAGACTGAGGCTGTGGGCCTGCATCCCAGAAATGCTGAGTGTCCCGAGGTGCCTGGCAGGGTTGGCTTCTCCTCCAGGCTTGGGTTTCTGCCCCAGGAGGGGAACTGGCTGCGCAAGGCAGGTGTTGTGCGATTGTGGGGGATACGGCTGCTCACTGTGGTCTTGCCAAGAGCCCAGTTCTTGGCCCGAGGGTCCAGTTCTCTGCAGCTCAGAGGAGCATGTGGTGGTGGCTGACTTGTCCTGGGTATCTTGACCTTGGCCATTTTGCTCACTTGTCAGCCTGGCCTGGGCGGGGGGGAGCTGGGCCTTGCCCCTGGGTGGCCCTGTTCAGCATCTCCTGGCTCCTGCTGGCTGAGGGAGCCCTGACCTTATAACCCCTGTGTCCCCTACCCCTGTAGTGGTTAGGTCACCTGTCCTTGGGGCCCCTGACTAGGCAGACCAGGGGGCAGTGCCATGTCATATATGAGGACTTGGAGGCCCTGGTGATGTGTCCCTGGGCCCTGAGGCAGGAAGGGCGGCCTGCACAGCAGAGAGTGATCATCGTGGGTGGCTCCTGGCAGGGGCCTGCTTGCAGAGTTGGCCCTTGGCCGGCAGCTGGGAACTTGTCTTTGAAACGGTTCCTAAGTGATGAGATTGTTTTGTGTGTTTGCGGGCTGAATCCCACTGTACACCTGACCCCATGGTTTGTACGGCTAGTCTGGCTTACAGTGGTCACCTATCTGGCTGGGAGTCTGCGGGCTTGGCCGGCAGAGAGTGCCTACTTACCCAGACCCTAGGGCAGGGATCCTCAAACTGTGGCCCGCCAAGGACATTTATCCGGCGTGCCAGGTGTTTTTGCCACCGCTGCCTGTCCTGCTTAGCAGCCGACTTGTCCTGGGCCCACAGTGCGCATGTGTGGAATGTGCGCCGCACTCTCCAAGGGCCTCCAACGGTCTGAGGGACAGTGAACTGGGCCCCTGTTTAAAAACTTTGAGGACCCTTGCCCTAGGGAGAGCCCTGGGCTTGGAGTCTTGAGTGGAGCTGCCACATGCTTGCTGTGTTTCGAGCTGGGACCCCTCCCAGGGGGGAGAGAGGGTAGGCAGTGGGCCCACATGCCCCTTGCTGATAAGCCCAGCACAAGGCCCCTGATGCGCAGCCTGTAGAGAGGTGAGGGCTCCCCTGGGGGCGTTCGTGACCCAGGTTCCAGCTCTTCCTCCCTGTGTGGCAGCCTGCTCAGGAGTCTGGGTTGTGGGCTCTGGCCGCCAGGCTGTGACGCTCTGAGCTAGGCTGGCTGAGGGCTTTTTGCTGTGCTTCTGAGCAGGCCTGCTCTGGTGGCCAGCGTCTGTGTGGGTGTGCAGCCTCCCTGGACGCCTGCTTTTGTGCCCAGAGACTCTGAGTTTGGTTGGCCGTGAGCTCAGAGCCTGCTGAGAAAAGATGGGAAGAGGCAGGCGCCAGGCAGCTGGGTGGATGTTTCCAGGTTGTTGGGGCCTGGGCCTGGAGCTCTGCTGCCTGTGGCCTCAGCCCGTGGGGTGGGGCCCAGCGGCTCCTAGAGCTGCTGCTTCTGCTCTGAGCAGGATGACGGGCAGAACAGGGAGAGGATGACCTACTTCCGGAACCTGCCAGATGCTCTGACTTCGCTCCTGGTGCTGCTGACCACTGCCAACAACCCTGATGGTGTGTGTGGGGCGCGGCGTGTTGTGGGGCTGGCACGTGGGGCGAGGGCACGTGGGGGGAGGATGCATGGGGGAGGGTTCCAGGCTTCAGCGTCCCCGGGAGTGCTGCCTGTGTCACAGCAAGTGGGGTGAAGGGTGGCACTCTCCCTCCCTTCCCTCTTCTTTCTCTTCCTTCCCTCTTCTTTATCTTCCTCACTTTCTTCTTTTTCAGTGTCCCTTTTCCTCATTCCTCTTCTCTTTCTCACTTGTTTTCTTTTTCTTTCCATTTTGCACCTTTGTTTACTCTCCATTTTTCTTCTCTTGGTCTCCTCCTTCCCTCGCCTCCTCACTCTGAGCAGCTACGAGTGTCCCGTGGCGCTGGTCAGTGGGCTTCCTCTGGTGGCTGCCCAGCCCAGCCGTGCGGCGCCACTTGGCAGCGTTGCGTGTGAGAGGCCCTGGGGTCTGGGCTGGCGTGGCGCTTGCTGTGTCGCGGTGCTGATGGGTGCGCGGCCGCGCAGGTGCGGGTGTGGCCAGGACGGGGAGGCTGTGGTCGGGCTGGGCTGTGGCCGGGCCACCCTGGCTGGGGCCTTTCCTGTTGGGCTCGGGTGGTCACTGGCCATAGAGGCCTTCCCAGGAGGCAGCCAGGGGTCTTTCTCACCCAGCGAGCGCTGTGCTGCCGGACACATGTCCCGTGAGTCATGGCAAGTCCCCGCAGGCTGAGCGGAGTCGTCTGGGGGGAGTGCCAGAGGAAGGCTGACTACACCTCTGCGTGGGGACGATTGTCCTTGATAGGGAGTGCCCATTCCCAGGGCGTGCAAGCAGAGGTGTCAGGGTCGGAACTTGGGCGAGAAGGCGTGGGTGCTCCCTGTGCAGGGCCCACCGTGCTGTCGAGGGGCAGAGGGTGTCGGGGCGGATGCACTGAGGTGGTCAGTGCGATTTCAGCTTCCTGGCATCTTCCTTCTCTCAGTGATGATTCCTGCGTATTCCAGGAACCGGGCCTACGCCATCTTCTTCATCGTCTTCACCCTGATAGGTGAGTGCGGGAATGTCCATGTGGGCCACTCGGCCAGGATTCCTCCCTGGTGACGGGATTCTGTGTGCTCAGTGCGGCATGCCTTACCCCCTGACCCCGTGGCTTCACCTCCGTGTCCCCTGACCCCATAGGTTCACCTCAGTGTCCCCTACCTCATGGCTTCCCCTTGGTGTCCCTCACCCCATAGCCGGGTGGTCTCCTCTGATCGTGTCTTTTTCCTCCGGAAGGAAGCTTGTTTTTGATGAACCTGTTGACAGCCATCATCTACAGTCGGTTCCGCGGTTACCTGATGGTGAGTGAGCCGCCACCCTGCTGGACTATGCCCAGAGCTGCCCCTGGAGGGCCAGCAGGGTGTGGCTTGAGCTGACTGGAAGGGTAATCCCTCAGCCTCACTGGCCAGGCTCCCCGCCTCCTGGGAAGGCCTCTATGGCCAGTGACCACTTGAACCCAATAGGAAAGGCCCTAGCCAGGGTGGCCCGGGAGGATGGACAGGGTCACTCCCTCTCGTGGAGGAGCCAGAGATATAGGCATGTCGTTCCACAGCCACCCAGGGTCCCCTCCCTGTGCCCCACTCAGGATCGTGGCTTCCAGTGCTGCTGGTGCCCACCCTCCTGTGGGGAGCTGGGGTCCCCAAATACACAGAGAAGAAACACATTCCTTGGTGAATCACACAGCGAGCTGCTGTCGGGCACCAATCCCAGTTGGGCCTGGGTCTGGCTTCTTCTGGTTGGACTATGCCTTGGGGTCTCTGTGACTACTCCTGCTGCTGCCCAGGTGTGGGTGGGCTGGGTGCCCTCGGAGGCTGTCCTGGCTCCCCCTTTGCCTAGCCCCTAGGGGAGGATGTGTGGCCCGGAGAGGGCCGGGCCAGGCCACTCAGAGCCGTTCTCCTTGCAGCAATCTCTCCAGACCTCGCTGTTTCGCAGGCGACTGGGGACCCGGGCTGCCTATGAAGTCCTCTCCTCCATGTCTGGGAAGGGAGAAGCCTCCCCTCAGGGGTGAGTGCGAGGGCCCTGGGACCCTCTCCTCCCTGAGGAAGTGGGTGCTGTTGCTGCTTTGGGAGTGGGAATGGGGTGTTCTTAGGGACTTCCCAGGCCCTGACTGCACCTCGCTTCCTGCTGGCTGGCGCTGGGCTCAATCCTCCGTTTAGAATCACGACCCCTGCATGTCCTGGTGCTCTGTGGTTCCCGTGGCTCTCGCCCTGAGTCGACCAGTTTATTTTCGGAATCCCCCTGGAGACCTGGGCTGGTGAAGGGCTGAGCGCTCTGGCCTGTTCTCCTCTCCCGCCTCTGGGCTCGCCCACGCCTCTAAGCTGGTACCTGGGCGTCAGAACCAGAGGCGCTTGGATCAGTTGTCCACTCCGCTGTCCTGTTTGGAAATGAGGGCAGAGAGCTTGAGAATGTCACTGTGGAAGGTTCCGATCCTGACTGCTGGGTGGCAGTGGAGTCTTTGTATACCCCTCCCCAAAGGGGCACAGCAATGTGTCCCTTGCAGGCCCGTGGTAGACGCCCCTTGGCAGAGGTTTGTGTCATGGCCCAGGACTGCAGAGTGGATTCGTGGTGAGGCTCAGGCCAGGTACCAGGACCCACCCAGGCCTGCGTTCCAGGGGGCTGTGCTCACTGGAGCGTGGGTTTTTTTTCTTCCTCAGAGTTGGGGTGAAGCCCCAGAACTTACTACATGTGCTTCGGAAAGTGCAGCTGAACAGCTTCCACAAGCAGGCCCTCATAGAGGTAGCTGCTTCCCTCGCACGCGCCACAGCCTGCTCTGGGCTCCTCCCGGGAGGTCATGCAGGCCAGCAGCCCCATTTCAGGACTGGGGATGTGGTTTCGGATCAGCCCTGGTATTCACAGCCCTGTTGGGGTGGGGCTGGGCGGCTCATCTGCTCTGGGTCATGTCACTCCCCACTGGCCCCAGCCCAGCCGACCGCGCTTCCCTCTGCAGAAGGTGTGCTCCTACGGGGACGTCCCCCTGTCGGCCAGCGAGTTTCAGAGAATCTTCAACGAGCTTGACAAAACTGTGGTTAAAGAGGTAAGTGGGGGCCTCTGGGGCTGGCCAGAGTGGGGCCCCATGGGGTGAGTAAGGGCTCTGCACTTTCCGTTGTCATTGATCACCCAGGGAACTCAGTGACGAGTGCCAGCACTCATCTGCCCAGGGATTCTGGCTCCTAGGATGGCAAGTGGGAATGCAGATCAGTTTGCCCTTGGAAACTGGGAAGATTTTATTGACCTGATGAAATTCATGAGACCCTAGGAATAGGCCTGAGCCCAGCCTGATACAGGGAATCTTCTAGATGATTTTCTCCATTTCCATGGCAAACTTTCCTTTTCCTGTGTGTTCTGCCCCAGAGGTCTGGACCCTGGGCCTCTTCAAGGCCTTTGTCTTTTGTCCTTGATACTGATTTGCATAGTCACCAGGTGGGCCTTGGCACTGTCCCAAAGGCCTGGAGTGGCTTCTGGGCGGTGGCGGAGATGTCGGGAAACAGCTGGGTGTTCACAGGCAGTGTGTGGGGGCAGGGAAGGGGGTGCCCTTCCGGCTGCTCAGCCTTGAGGGAACCGAATGGGCGTGGGGTGAAGGGGCACAGCCAGACGTTTGTGCCGGCTTCTCCTGCCGGTGTCGTGCCACCGGTGTGACTCGTCTGCTCAGGCTGTGGTGTTGAAGCACCCAGACCGGGAGGGCGCGGTGGTGCTTGAACAGCAGACCTTTACTGGCTTGAGGCTGGAAGCCCCAGATGGAGGTGTCGCAGGGCTGATGCCTTCTGAGGCCTCTCTCCTTGGTTTGCAGACGGACACCTTCTCCCTGTGCCTCTCATGGGTCCTCTGTGTGTGTCTGTCCTAACCTCCTGTTTTTGTAAGGACCCCAGTCAGACCTAATTGCCTGTTAAAAGGCTCTGTCTCCAAGTACAGTCCTGTGCTGAGGTCGGGAGTTAGGGCTTCGAGGTAAGAATTTTGCGGGGTCCATAACAGATGTCGGCTGCTGCAGGATTTGTTGTTGGCCTCTCTGGCCTCAGGTCCTTGTCAAAGGTGGTTTTCTCATAAACATGTTTTCTGAAGGTCTTTCCAGACCGTCTGGATTCTGGCCCCATGGCAGCCTGAGCCTTGGGTGCCACAGGCTTGTCCTGTTGTCATTTGGGGCATCCCTTTTAGAGCAGCGTTCCTCAGAGTGTGGCACCCCACATCCCCCTGGGGGCCTGGGAGCCAGTCATAGTGACACATCAGCAGGCGACACTGTAATTCATGCCATCAGACCTCTGCACGGGACAAGGCTGGGCAGTGGGGTCTCAACTTAAAGTTGGCTTGAAGACGATACTAAGAGCATGCTTTTAGGTGTAGATTTTGCAGAAACTGTAGAAATGGTCCTCAAACGACAGGAAATTAGGAGTCACTGTTTAGATAATGGCTCTTATCCTAGGGCCAGAGGTTTGCTGGGCTCTGGAGGCAACTGTTAGCAGCTGTCATGTGCCAGGTTTGCTGTGATGCTGTGACAGACCTGGGCCGGGAGAAGTTGGACATCCTAAAGGGTTCTGGAAAGGCAGTTTTTGCTCCTCAGGGTTTTGCTCATTTGTGTCCTCTGGGCCACATGGGCTCTTCCTGGGAAGTTGCCGGCTGACCTTTAGGAAGCTGCTGAGTCCTGGTTGTCCAGACTCTCGATCTCCCCTTCTCTCCCAGTGTCAGGATTTGAGATCATCCTACGAGATTGCTTTGGTCCTGGCCCGCGGAGGGGGCTCATGCCCCAGGCATCGGGTTCGGGAAGGCCCAAGACACAAGCCACATCCCTGCTCTGGCCATGCCTGTCCTAGCCTGGCCACCTCCTCCGAAGCCTGTGGAATGCTGTCTCTTACCATGGTGCCCTGGGGTCCAAGGTCCAGAACTGGGGTTTGAGATGGGAGCTTGAGTTGCAGAGTTGGGGAGCTATGATATCCTTGCCCTGGTTTGATGACCTCCTTCTCCCAAAATGCAGACTGCAGGGGGAGGCAGTACATTTATCCCTTTTTATCCATGGGGGACTGGTTCTAGGACTGCCCACAGATACCCAAATCCTCGAGTGCTCAAGTCCCTTATATAAAATGGCATCGTGTTTGCATATAACCTACCCACAACTTTTTGTATGCTTTAAATTATCTCTAGATTACGTATACAAGCTGATACAGTGTAAATGCTGCATAAATAGTTATTATACTGCAGAGTTTAGGGAATAGTGATGAGAATGCAAAGGTCTGTACATGTTTGGTAGATGCTTTTTCCCCCTGAATGTTCTCGATCTGCAGTGGGTTGAATCCGTGGATGTGGAACCCATGGATATGAAGGGCCGACTGGATTTCATTTTGAAGGCAGATGCTTCCAGGCTTGCTGACGTTTGAGGCAGGCCGCGGTTTTGGGATCACTCCTCCAGGGAGGTGCTCTCTGTGCATGCTGAGGTCACGGGCGCTCGAACCATTTAGGTAGCCTCCTCGTGTGGTCATCACCTCTCAGCAGCCCCTGCCAGCTTCTGCGAGAGGTCTCTTCTTTTTATGAGAAGCCTTTTGGGTTAAAAATGGAGTGTTCATTATAGATAATAGAACAAAATAGAAAAAGCCACTGTCCTGTCCCCCTACCCTGAGACAGCATAACCACTACAATCATATCAAGGTTTATTTCTTAATTACGCAGGTAGCATGTGAATATATTCTTCTTGCAGCAATTTAAACATAGTGGCTGATGCTGGCATCTCTCTGGCCAAGGCAGCATTCTGGGGCCAGTTAAGAGACAGGAGCCATCCAGTGGGTCAAACAGAGAAAGTGTGCTGTAAGGAAGTGACAGTGATGATAAAAGAGGAGCTGTGAGATACACAGAAAGTCTTTGGTGCCCTAGGGCCCGGGGCGAGTGCCTTGGAAGGGGACCCTCCCCGAGGCCAGATTCAGACCTTCTCAGAGAAGGTGTGATTTAGCCCGAAGGAGGACGGGGACGTTTGCTGTTCTGCCCGGGCTGGAATTGGTCTCTGGGCACTGGGCAAGCAGGACGCCACCCTCCCGGGTGCGGCAGGCCAGGCCAGGAGCAGGTTGTGGCATGGGCCAGCAGGGGGCATTGGTGCGGGCAGGTGGCCTTTGGGTGCTGGTTTCCAGTGGAGGACTGTGGAGGTTGGGAAAGTGACCTGCAGGTCAAGCTGTGGCTGTAGGTCACCATGGGACTGTGTGTCTGGGTGGGACAGAGTGCCAGCAGATGTCCTCACGCCATACCGTGACCCACCATGTAGCACCCAGAAGCTGCAGGAGAGCCTTGCCCTCCTGCCATGTATTTCCAGCGCCCTCTCGTAGGCGAGCCGTGCTGAAAGGGCCTCTGCCCGCTGTGGCGGGGCGGGTTGGGAGATGATAATTGGCACAGCCACTTGGGGCCTGCTCCATGATAGTCACGCCCTTCGGTTCCATATTTTGGTGTTTTCCTTCTAGATTGTCCCCACGAGATTATAGGCACACATACTGCACCTTGCGTTTTCACTTAGCAGTGTTGCACAGAGATCTCCATTCTCATATGACACTATTCTCCCTGCCTGTCTGATGCAGTAGCCGCCTGTCACAGTAGTTGTCTGTCACTTGAAGTGTGGCGATTGCCCCTGAAGAACTGTTACTGGATTGAAATTTACAGTAAATAGCCACACGTGGTCTGTGGCTCCGGTGTGGGACAGCAGGCACAGGCCCTGGGCTCCCTCTCTGCTGTGTCACGGTACATTCGCTGAGGAATATTTAGGCCATTTCCACAGTCTGCTGCAGTCACCATCCTGTGACTCTGTCCTCGTGCACAGGAGGGTCTCGAGGGCGGGTGCCGAGCTGAGAAAGTGCTGGTCTTGCGAGCGTGTTCACGTTTGCATCTGTTGCCAGAGTGACCCCACTGCTTTCCTGTCCCCGCCCGCACACAGTGCACGAGTGAGTTTGCTCTTCGCTAAGTTTTCACGGCTCTTAGCACACCATTTATGTGTATTTTTTCACACAGCGTTTTCCATGGGCAAACAGTTCGCTTACATTTAAGATGACTGCGTCGTATCACAATGTGGTTTACTTATACTCAATGTGCGTTCCAGTTGTTTCTACCTCTCTTCTGATGTTATAGAGACCACTGTCAGGAGCAGCTTTGTGTATAAAACTATACATAATTTCCGTAGGCTGGGTAGATTATTTCCTTAGGCTGGGTAGACTAGGATGGGAGATAAAGTAGGGAAACGTTGAATCCCAGGATAACAGAGCGCGGGTGTTTTGGGCCTGGAGCGTGTTTCTGAGCATGTGTGTTCCCTGCCCAGCACCCGGCGAGGCCCGAGTACCAGTCTCCGTTTCTGCAGAGCGCCCAGTTCCTCTTTGGCCACTACTACTTCGACTACCTGGGGAACTTCATTGCCCTGGGAAACCTTGTATCCATTTGCGTGAGTTTGGGGTTGCCATGTGTGGACATGGGAGGGGCCCTGTTTCTTGCCCCCCTTGCTTTGACACCAGCCCTTCCCCCCTGCCCTAGCGAGGTCTGGGCCTGCGCGGTGAGCCGCACCCCACTCTGGCTTTGCAGGTGTTCCTGGTGCTGGATGCAGACGTGCTGCCCGGTGACCGGGATGACTTCATCCTGGGGGTAAGCTCTGAGGTTGCCCCTTGGTCACACCGTGAGCTCTGCCAGGGTCCGAGGGAGTCGGAGAGAGTAGCAAGAGAGCACGGCCTCCCTCCCTGGGGCTCCGGGTCTAGCGGAAGGCAGGGCTGGTACACAGCAAACATCCCGTCATAGGTGCATGGGTGTGGAGGGCGTGTGCCCAGAGGAGGCTGGTGCAAGCAGAGGCCCTGTGGCCTGGTGGGTTGGGAGGGGGCGGCCAAGCCGAATGATGGAAGATGGAATGGCTGTGTGATGGGTTGGCCGCCTGGGCCTGTTGCCAGGACTGAGTCTGGGCACAGCCAGTAGCACTGGGACCTGACGCTGGGCACTTTTTCTTCCCTTTTCAGATTCTCAACTGCATCTTCATCCTGTACTATGTGCTGGAAATGCTGCTCAAGGTCTTTGCTCTGGGCCTGCGAGGCTACCTGTCCTACCCCAGCAACGTGTTCGACGGGCTCCTCACCACAGTCCTGCTGGTAAAGTTGGGGGTGGCTGAGGCCCGGCCTCTCCCGGGTGGGTGGCGTGAGCCCCGCCTGTGGCTTTGTACTGTGTTCTGTCTCAGGCGTCCCTGGAGGACCAGAGGGCCTCCTGCCTTGAGTGACAAGGGGCTGGCTTGCCCCCAGCCCAGCAGCTTGGTGGGTGGCTGGTGGGGGCTGTAGGAGCCAGGGTTTCCGCTGTGTGTGTGTCACGGGGGCAGGTTGCCACCCTGACCCCTAAGGGAGGCCTGGAAGGACCCGCAGCCCTTGCAGCTAATCCAGCCCCCAGCACAGCCTCGAATGCCACCCATGTGACCCCTCCGTGGGTGGAGTGAGGGGCTGGGGGGTCACGGGCACCCAGGAGGTCCTCGGGAAAGTTACACTTTCTTTCCCCAGACACTGGGAATGAGGGTGTGTGTCACAGTGGCGATGCCAGAATGACATTTACTCGTATTTGACTGGTCAGAGCCAGGGGGCCCCTCGGAACGTGAGTGCAGAGAACTCTCGAAGCGTCTCTCAGTCCGTCCTTGACCAAGTAGCTTCTCCACCCTGTCCTTGCTGTGCACGGGCCCCGATTCTTGAGTTCAGGGTTTCCAGCCGAAGGAGTCCTCACATCTGGAACCAACCCATGGGGACAAGGACCAAGCTCTGATTTCTCCCCAAAATCTCCTTTTGGGGAGAACATTTTAAACATGAGCTTTATTATTCATTTAAGACCCATCCAGATTAGCGTTGCTGTAGCGATGCCTTCTTCTCTTTTGTAATTAAAGGTTTTGGAGATCTCAACTCTGGCTGTGTACCGATTCCCACACCCAGGCTGGTATGTGACTGGGGAGAACCGAGGGACGCTACAGCAAACAGTGCCGCCGTCTAGCCCCTGGGGGGTCTCGGCTGCCCCCCCAGGAGGTCCGGGCCTGCTTGCTTGGGCTGCTCTGACTCTAGGGCAGTTGTTGGGCTAATGTTGCCCGCTGAGGGTTGTGTGGGGCGGAGCCCTGCTCAGCACTTTTGGGGCGCTGTTCAGAATGCTGCACCCTGCAGCTGTCGGGAAGCAGCTGTGTTTCCCTCTGAGGTACCTTCTAGAGCGACAGTGGGCTCCCCTCCAAGCACTGTGATAGGACATGTGGCCCCAGCATGTGGGAAGCTGGAAGCAGAGCCGGCCCAGGCCCAGGTCTGGGGGCCTGTGATCTCTGGGATCGAGCTGGGCCCTGCCCCTGGCAGGAAGGTCATGTGTAAGCTCTGCCCAGCAGTGTGACCTTGGGCATCAGTTTTTATCGTCTTTAAAGTGGTGGAAGGCAGGGACCTGGGGTGTGATGAGCTCTTACGATGCCCTCAGAGTCCCACTGCCCCTGGTTCCGGCCAGGCAGAGAGACCCTTGGGCAGTGACCCCAGGGAGCCTCGCGGCATGGCAGGGTGCAGGCCTGCTGTCAGGGCCTCTGTCAGCGAGGCTGCTCTGCCCCAGGAGTGTGACAGCCAGCTGGTGGCGCTGAGATGTGCCTGCGATGAAGCAGGCAGAGGGTGGCATGGCCACAGCAGGGCCCGTGGTCAGCTGGGCTCTTTTGGTATCTCTGTGTCGGCTGTCTAGTGAGCAGCTGGGAATCGCTTGAGAGGGGAGTAGGGTTGAAAGACCCTCACTGTGCAGTCCCCTGCCCGGGAAACACGCCAGGACTGATCTCGGGAAGATGGGCAGTGATGCGACACTGTCTTGTATCACAGGCTGGTGTCCCCTTGCCTCTAATGTGCCATGAATGCCCCTGTTGCACTTGAGTCTGAGTCATCACATTGCGAAGCATGGGGGTGACATTCTGGGTGAGAATGGGTTTAAGTTTAAATAGAAATAAAAGAACAGAAAGGCCATGAGGGATGCCGGGGGAGCACCAGGCAGGGACAGGGTCGGAGGGCAGGGTCATGGGACAGGAGATAAGGTCTGGGAACAGGGCACAGGGTCAGGGAATGAGGTCAGGGGTCAGGGTCACAGGACTAGACATGGGGTCTGGGGACGGGATGGGGTCAGGGTCACAGGATAGAAGACGTGGTCTGGGGACAGAGGATGGGGGTAGGGGATGAGGTCAGAGGTCAGGATCACGACACAGGAGATGTGAGATGGGGTCAGGGGACGTGGTTTTGCCCAGTTCTGCGGGGACCTGGCAAGTCCCAGCATTTGGAACCTCCGAGTTCTCCTGTATAGACGGGGTCTGCCAGCCATGTGCTCTGTGAGGGCCAGGCTGGAAGGTGTTGCCGTGACTAGGGCTGCCCCGGGCGCCAGGCGTGCACGGAAGCAGTGAGTGGCCCAGGTTCCGCCCTCTTGCCATGTCCGGGCTTTTCTGCCCCTGTGCCTTGTGCTCGGGACTTCTCAGCTCCCTGTTCTTTCCTTATGGGCATCCCGGGCCTCTGCCAACCTGCCTCCGCGTGTCTCTCTCCAGGAGGCCACAGATGCAGGGCCTGCTGTCACTGTGGGACATGGTGCGGCTGCTGAACATGCTCATCGTGTTCCGGTTCCTGCGCATCATCCCGAACATGAAGGTGGGCGGCACGTCTGACCCCGGCCCTCCCCTGTGTGGTTCCAGCCGTTGCCCTGCTCCAAAGTGGGCGGGCCTGGGGCGGAGAGACTGAGGACTGTCCTTGTCACCTTGGGCCCCTGGTGCACCCTCCACCCTGCTGCATCCTGTGGTGCTGGGTGAGAAGTACGAGGGCCCAGCCCCGTGTGGCTGGAGGAGGAGAGCTGGGCCTATTGGGGCGTGGTGGCTGGACACCCCTGGCCAGTGACAGGAGCAGCTGCGTGCTCCTTGGGGCCCTGGCACCTTTTAAATGGAAATGTTCCCAGGTCTTCTGAGATTTCTGGAAAGGCCTTTGTCACAGGCTTTTAGGCACTAGTAAAGAGGGGCAAAGGTACAGTTGGCCAAGGTGATCACTGCCAGGACCTTGTGACGTATGGGTGTGTCAAGGCCATCTCCCAGCCTCGGTTTCTCTTAGCAAACTTGGAAAGGGAGCACTGGCATGGTGGTCAGCTGTTCAGGCCCAGCCCCTCTGCCTTCAAGCCCAGCCCCTTGCTGCCTCTGTCTCTATTTTCCTAAGAACTTGTCAGGAGCAAGGGAGACCTTCTTCTGAGTGTCCAGGTCCTCCCTCTGTCCACGTTCAGCCTTCTGCCGAGCTGTGTCCCTGTCCCACTCGTGGGTTACCTTCAACCTGGCAGTATTTCCTGTGGGAAGGCGGCTCTGGGGTCCTGAGCACAAATGGGCGGCCTTCATGATGCGTGCACACACGCACATGCAGTCACACAGTTACACAGTCACACGTGATCACACACCTGCACACACACAATCACGCAGGCACGCCTGGTCACACACATAATTACATACAGAGTCATGCATGCATATGACACATGACACCACACACGTACACATATATACACTTACATAACCCTATCTACGAATAATCCCATACACGTACACACAAAGTCGTGCGTATATAAGACATATCACGTGTGTGTATGTATACGGTAAGGTCTCACGTAACATATTCAGTAGGTTCTTGGAAATTGACTTTACGCTAAACGACACATAATGAAACCGATTTTTTTCTTCATCAACATTATAATGGGCCAGGCGTGGCTCATGCCTGTAACCTTAGGACTCTGGGAGTGGTAAGGAGGATGGCTTGAGCCCAGGGGTTAGAGGGTGCTGTGAGCTAGGCTGATGCCACGGCACCCTAGCCCAGGCGACAGAGTGAGACTCTATCTCCAAAAAAATACAGAAACAAAAACAAAACATTATAATGAAGCGATGTTGAAGGAAATGATGTTATTCAAGGACCTCCTCTGTGTCTTTTTGCTTAAAGTCACAGTTTCCAGGAACCTGTGGATGTTATGTGAGGTCTTGCCATGCGTGCACAGACACGTGCACATGCGTGTCGTGCATATACCATGCACGTGGTTATATGCACATGTACGCAGATTCCTACTTACCGGTTTCCACCTGCTGTGTTCGGCTCTAGTGTCTGTCCGGCTACAGCAGGCGGCGGACTGGGCGTATTTGAAGCTTTTCTCCGGGTCAGGTTGTGTGTGGGCCGAGCGACCCTCCGCAGCCATCTCCTCTGGCTGGCTCTCTGAGGTGCCCTTGTCACAGTCAGCCACCTCCAGGCCACAGAGGGCTCATCCGCCCTCGAATCAGCAGGCGGACTGTGGCCTGAGGTCCCAGGTGGGAGGGCTTCGCCAAGGGCCGTGGCACTCTGGGCTCGCGGGGGCCGGGCTGGGTGGCGTGTGCGAGCGTGAGTGCGTGTGGGCGACGTGTGTGGGATGTGGACGTGAACGGGTGGGTGTGTACAGGTGTGTGGGTGGCTGCTGGTCCAGGTGCATGGGTTGACAGTATTTACCTGTCCTGGGGGTAGGCAGGGACGGAGTCCCCTGAGTGGGGCCGGGAGGAGGAAGGGCTTACTTTGTTCTTGTCCTCAGCCGATGGCTGTCGTGGCCAGTACCGTCTTGGGCCTGATACAGAACATGCGGGCGTTCGGTGGGATCCTGGTGGTGAGTCCTGGGGGTGCTGGCGGCAGGGGCAGGCGCTCCTGGGAGGCTGGCTCGCTGCTCTGTGGGGGTGTCCCTGTGAGGCACGGGTCAGGGCAGGAAGCCAGGGGCGCTGCCTTTGGTTCTAGAGCAAGGGCCTGGGGCCAGTGTGGCTGGGGCCATGCCCAGCCGTGCTTCCTGTCCCTGCGGGAGAGGCTTTGGTAGCTCTTGCATCCCTCAGGTTTTCCGCACCGGGAGCTGTGTTGAGAAACTAATGAAACACAATTTAAGAGACACAAGAGTTTGCTCCCCAGGGACCCTCAGAGCCCCATAAAGCCCATGCTGAGGTTTGAGTCCACAGTCACGCTCAGGGATGTCAGGGACTCATGGCTCTGTTTGCCAAGCAGAAGCCATGGTCTGTCTCCCCAGGGGAGCTTCTGCCGAAGAGCTGGGTGGCTCTGCCCGTGGCTGAGCTCAGGCAGCAGGGGCCGTGACCAGGTAGGCCCCAGCACTGCCCTGCGCCAGGTGACAGGAATTCCTGCTGCAAGAAGCCCTGCTGCAGTGGGGCTGTAGTCATTTTGTTCTGACTACCACAGGCTGGCACCCGTGTAGGAGGGAAGGACATCCCCGGGGAGCCGCCTGGTGCTCTGGGCCTGGGCCACGCATGCCTGCCGCACCTCCGGAAATAGACGCTTGCAGCAAGTGCCGTCTGCCCAGACCCTGACTTGCCAGCGGAGGAAGCTGGGGCCCAGAGAGAGGACCAGGGCATGTGTCCCTCCGCTTCCTGCTGCCTGCTGGGACACACTAGGGCAGGGCTGGGGCAGGCCGGCAGTCTGTCTTCTAACCGTGGCCACCGGGCTACCTGGGAGCAGAGCCCCGATTCCCTGGGGAGCTTTGTGACCCCTGCCTGCCTCAGGCTCACTGGTGTCAGTGGACTCCCCAGCCGGGGACCCGCCGGGGGTGGTTGAGGCAGCAGTGTCCATGGCTGGGGGCGGCAGCCAGGCTGGGGCGGCAGCCAGGCTGGAAGCCCCTGGCCTGGGCAGAGGGTAGCCTGGCTTTGTGGTTCTAGTCCAGGGTGGCGGGGCCGGTGCGCCATGGGTGGGCTGACCAGCCCTCTGCCCCCACGTCCCCAGGTGGTCTACTACGTGTTTGCCATCATCGGGATCAACTTGTTCCGTGGTATCATTGTGGCTCCTCCTGGAAACGGCAGGTGAGGTGGGGTCTCAGTGCCACGGGGAGTGTCTCTGGGGCACCAGGGTGGGCGGAGGTCTCAGTGGTTCCTTCAGCTTCTCAGGAGAGGAGCAAAGCCGTGGCCTGGTTCCTTATCTGCCACCCCATGTCCCCCTCTCCTCGGAGCCCTCCCTGGAGTCTGTGTGGAGCCTGCTTCCCACAGCCTGCTCAGAACAGCACCCGGGGCCCCTCTTTGGACCTTCAGGCCAGGATGGGCACACTGGCAGGGGTGGTGTGACGTGCCAGGCCTCAGAACCTAGAGCCCGAAAGCTGCCTCTGCCCCGCTGGGGTGTGCAGGTCCCTGGACCCCACCCTCACCCAGGTGTGCCCCATCCACCAGCCTGGCCCCTGCCAATGGCTCGGCGCCCTGCGGGAGCTTCGAGCAGCTGGAGTACTGGGCCAACAACTTCGACGACTTTGCTGTGAGTCCCTCGCTCTGTCCCGGGCCTCTGCTCTCCCAGGTCCCTGCCTGCCCCCTGCACCTTTCGGACCCCCCCGGACCTCGCTCTGCTGCCCCCACAGGCCGCCCTGATCACACTGTGGAACGTAATGGTGGTGAACAACTGGCAGGTGTTTCTGGATGCGTATCGGCGCTACTCGGGCCCGTGAGTCCCCGTCCCAACAGCGTGGGTCGGAGTGAAGACTGGGGGCTCCCTCCCCTCGGTGTGGCGCAGGGAGTGGGTCCTTGGCAGGAAAGCCTGCCAGCGCGCGCCCCTGGCTGGCCTCGTCCCTGCCCCGCCCCCGGCGCTGGCTGAGGACTCTGGGCTTCCGCCTCCTGGGGGGAGTTGGTGTGTCTGGCTGGGGAATCTGGCAGGGCGGGGAAGCCCCGGACAGCTCAGGCCAGCCCCGGTGGATGGTCATGGGTTTGTGTCCTGCCCCACCTCCTGCCGGCCGAGCTGCCTGAGCCACTTGCTTGACGTTTCTGAGCTGTGGTTGGATTACCTCCGAAGTGGACGTGGTCACGTGCTCTACCCCTGTGGTCCCAACCCCCGGTCAGTGGCCCAGTACTGGTCTGTGGCCTGTTAGGAAATGGGCCGCGCATCACCGCCAGAGTTCTGAACCCCTCCCCCATGACATCCTCCCACCCCCCACCTGGTCCGTGGAAAAATTGCCTTCTATGAAACCCGGTGTCTGGTGCCAAAAAGGTTGGGGAACATTGCTCCGTGTCATGGAGTCCCCGGGTGAGATTCAGTGAGAGCTGTCCTGGCCACACGTCGTTGTGTTTGAGTGATCTCACTCTGCTCATGGGGGGCCTGGGTGGGCCTCTTGCTCCTCTGCAGGTGGTCCAAGATCTATTTTGTGTCGTGGTGGCTGGTGTCATCTGTCATCTGGGTCAACCTGTTCCTGGCTCTGATGTTGGAGGTATCAGAAACCCCCGTGCAGACTGTGCTAGCGGTGGGGGAAGGGCTGTGGCCAGGCCTGCTGGAGCTTTGATGGCAGAGCCCCTGCTGGGCCAGGGCTCGGCTGGGGGTCAGCACTGCTTGCTCTGGCTACTGGGTCCCCTTGGGACACTCCTGGCATTGGGCCTGTGGGGATTCTCAGGCCCCCATGGGTGCGGCTGAGGGAGGGACCCCAGTGTGTGGCGCTGGCAGCCCCACAGGGCCTGCGTCCAGGATGAGCTGCTCGGCCCCCGCAGGGGATGCCAGAGCCACCCTGGAGGGGGCCGGGGAGGGGCAAGGCTGGTGTCACCCGGAGCCCACAATCATGGGCCCCTCCCTCCCTTCTGCTTCCCAGAATTTCCTTCATAAGTGGGACCCCCAGAGCCACCTACAGTCGCTTGCTGGGACCGAGGAAGCCACCTACCAGATGTCCGTGGAGCTCATGTTCAGGTGTGTGGGTGGGGAAGGTGCTTCCCTGTGGCCTTCTGGGGCGTGAAGCCAAGAGCTGGGGGTGGGCAGGAGGTGCAGGCAGGCCCTGTGACGGTCACCTTCCCCATCCGCCTGTCACCTGGCTTCCCTCCTATGCCGCAGGTGAGCAGATGAGAGCAGCTCAGACTGGGGTTGGGGTCGGGCTGCTGCCTCTGCTCCTGCACCAGAGTTGTGGACTCTGCCTGCGCTCAGAGTATTTGAGGAAGCTTCCTTCGGGTCTGTTGGTCTCCAGGTCATCCTGATGGATATAAACAGGTGGCCTAAGGAAACTACAGTCCTCTCTTGACAGCTTTGAGATTGTTCCTCTACTAGTACAGAAAAGTGACTGGCCACCCAGAGGCCGCCCTGTCGTGGGGCTTCTGTTCCTTCCGTGGGGTCTGCTGTGTCACTGCGGCCGGTCCTCACACGGTCCTGCCAGCCAGCCCGGAGAGGCACCTTCTGGGCTTTTAGGATGCCGTGAAAGCCTCTCTCACGTCTGTACCCATCCTGAAGCTCGGTCTGAGTTCCTGTGTCCCACATCCTCGTCACGCTCACTTTTGCACATGTCTCTGATGATCTCCAGGGAGAACCTCCTCCGTGGGGCACTTCGGAGGCTTTCTGAGAAGTCCCGCTCACTCGTCCTTCTGCACGCGCCAGGGTCTGTGTGCAGAGGCCTGCTAACCCTCCTCCCCCACCCCACAGGGACATCCTGGAGGAGCCCAACGAGGAGGAGCTGACCGAGAGGCTGAGCTGTCACCGGTACCTGCAGTTGTGCAGGTGACATCCAGGTTGCCTTCCCGGCTGGGGTGGCTGGAGAGAGATGCTGGCCTACGACAGGTGCTGGTCATGGAGGAGGCAGCTGGGCTGTGGCCAAGCAGCAAGAGACCTTTCCTTTGACAGACCACTTAGCTGGGGACAGGCAGAGCCTGGGGACAAGGAACCAAGTCCTTCATGTGCTGCCCACCAGAACCATCCACGGAACAGCCGCTGGTGCTTCAGGGCCGAGTCGCGCCATGCCGCTTTCTTCTGTAAGCTGCTTCATTGAGACTCACTTTTTAAATAAGCAAAGAGGTGACTCCACGGGGACCTTTAAGACAGTTTGAAAAGCAAGAAGCAGTGGCCTTTCCCTTGTGCCCTGCAGCTTCTGTGGTGCCTTTGCTGCTGGTGGCCTTCAGGGACCAAGGGCCCACCAGGGCCTGCACAGGTTAACCAGCAGATTTCCGGGACATTCAGGTTGGGATGGTTTTACATGAAGAGAATGTTGACTGTGTCTTACTTAATGGCTTGTGTGACTGTGATTGGGTGTGTTTCTTTAGGGGTCAGAATGCCAATAATTTTTATCGTTAAGTTATATAAAGAAATAGGATTGTCATTCTTCACCATGACTCTGGTCCTACTTCTGCGGAGCAGGGTTGCTGGGTAAGGTTGGTTAGGTTGTGTACTGCACAAGGGCGTCTGGCTATGAGTGTGTGTCCTGGCACGGGGCTGTCTGCCTGCAGTGACGGGTGCCTTTTCTAGTTTGCACAAAAGCATGTATGAGCCAGTGGTGGCCGTCTACTTTGTGTGCCCTTGGTGTGTGACAGAAGGGGTCTGGGGGTGGTGGTGGGGAGAGTGAGCAGTGTGGAAAGCCACATTGTCACTTGATCCTGCTAGGCTGTGATTGACGAATGGTTTCCTCATTTCAAGTGCCAGTGCGGGTGATTGGCACCCTAGTTCGCGGAGCTCTGTGTTGAGCAGGAGTGGAATCTTCATGGAAAGGCATGTCGGGGTGGACGAGTGACGTCTGCTGGGGCCGCCGAGGAGAAGTGAGGGCTCGGGTGCTGACTCCTGTAGGGTGTGGTCTCCTGTCTCCCCAGCTTGTCTGGGAAAAGGGAGTTGAGGAAGGTTTAACGAAAACAACTTCTAAAGTGTCACGAAGGCCCAGGGCTCGGGCCCCATAAGTCCTGGTGCTGGGTGGACCGTGCGCGCTGTAGCTCCTGACCGGGCCTGAAGCTGGTCCGGGAGCCCGGGCGTTTACCCGACCACTCATGTTAGGGCTTCCTGTGGGGGCTGTGAGCCTCTGCAGGCTGCCCCCTCCGCAGGCTGCCTTTCCGGAACTGTCTTTGGGTCGGGAGGGCCTCACGGAGCAGCGGGTTGGACGTGGCAGAGTGGCAGACGCTTCTCTCTCCGGGACGGGACCGGGTGGGCCGCTGTTGGCACAGGCCGTGTTCCCACGGCCCCACCCCTTTCTGCTGGGGGTCGGGTGCCATCTAGTGGTGGAATGGGGTTCAGTGGCCTTATTTTTAATGCGAGGCGGACCCCATGACACCCAGAAATAGCTCCCTGAGACAGTGCCTCTGGGCCAGCGAGCTCCCCTCCTGGCTGGTGTCCTGGGCGCCTGGTCACCAGCGCTGGGAGGGGCTGGGCTCTGGCAGGGGCAGGGTTGCTTCCACGCCGTGGCCGTGGGGCAGAAGTTCTTTTCCCTCCGGGGCCCTGAGCCCCCACCTCTTGGTACCTGCAGGGGGCCCGTGGGGGCCCAATGACAAAGTTGCTGTGGCTGAGACTGGGGGGAGGAGCAAGTCGAAGGTGAAGGTCATGAGTTTGTTTTTGCTCGTGTTTAATAATAACAATGACCATGGCATGGAGACAACTGCAAACTCGGAGGATGGTGGCAAGTTCAGTGAGAATAACTTCTAAGTCACTAGCGCGTGGGTTGCAGTTCTGTCCCCTGCTCCCTCAGTGCTTTGGGGAGGTGCCAACAAATAGGACACCCTGCTGCAGAAGCACAGGCCGTGGAAACCGGGCCGGGACTCGGGTGGGCTGCCGCCCTCAGAGGCTCAGGCCCCGCCACGCCCCGTGCTGGGAGCGTCGGTTCTGCGAGCCCGTCTCCCCGGACAGTTGCTCCGTCGCCCTGTTGAAGATGAGCCAGCGACTTTAGAGATTGGCCCCCAAAGTGGGTTTGTGGGAGGCTTCCTCACGTGATTAGATTGAGGCTCTGCCCCTCTTGCAGGAACATCCAGAAGGTGCACCGCGTCCTGCCAGGTGGCGTGTTTCGCCTTTCCACGCCGGTGCCCACGCCCACCGCTTGCTCCAGCGCCAGCTTGGGCACCGCCTCGCGGCCGCGCCCCACATCAGACTGCTTGTCTTGCTTTCCTCTCCGCCCCTCCTGTCTTGTTCCATCTTCGTGGCTCCGGTGGGACGGGCCGCCACTGAGTTTGCCCTGGTGCTCAGGCCGCCCTATGTGGCCAGGGGGAGCCTCTCACCTAGCGATTGTGTCCTGCCATGTTTCTGCAGTCTCCGGCACGAAAAGATGTTCAGGGCTCCTTTTATTCCTTCCTCGCCCGCTCCCTCCATTCACTGGGATGAGCCGCTTCTCCTGGGAGCCCTGTCCTTTCTGCCAATGGGAACCAAGACATGAGTGTGAAGCGTACTGGGGCTACTGGGGTGTTCCAGGTGCCGTCAGTGGAGGGGGGGGGGAGACCCGTGTGTACACACGTCTCTCTCACATCTGAAGACAGCTGTGAGGTTACACCAGTATCTCCAGCTTGGTCCAATGCTACCGCGTGCGTTCCGGTTCTCTCTCTCCAGAGTAAGGCTCTTTCTCTGAATGGTTCTCATTCTTCTTAATCTATTCTCTGATCAGTTGCCCTGTGCATAGTCAGTCTCCTGTCGCCCCCGGCCCGCCCCGAGATGTCCTCCTCACCCAACTTGGGCTCTGACCCCCACACTGAGACATCCCTCTGCATAGATGCCTCCTAACAAAGCCTCCAGGAAACGGCTTTCCAATGGGGGAAGTTACTGTTTTAAAGTTAGGAACAGAAAAACCTACATTCTGGAGCTCCTAGTCAGCTCATTAGGACTCAGTAAGTAAGCACGTAACTACGTAAATAGAAATAGCATTAGAAGAAATGTACCACTTTATTCACAATGTGATTGTCTATACAGAAAAGCCAACAGTGGTAGTAAGAATTCAGCAGAATGGCCTGCTGTTAAGATTATAGTGAAATCAGTGGCTTTTCTAAATACTAGCAACAAACTTATAAACTGTGTATTTAGAGATACCATTTACATAGGAGTAAAAATCCTTAAGGTCCGTAAAAATAAATTGAACGAGAAATGTTCAAGGCCTATATACAGAAAACTGTAAAACTTCATTCAAGCCCACTCTGTAGAGCCAAGTAACAGAGACAATGAGTATTATGTTAACAAGTCACCACATACGTGCTCAGTAACTTGCCACACCCCGTTTACTAGCTTGAAGTGCAGGTCAGAGGTCAGGCACGGCCCAGCGTGTCCTCTGCTCAGGTCTCCGGTCCCGGCGTCAGCCTGGCTGTGACCCGCCTGGAGGCTCTGCGTGGGACCTGCCTGCAAGCGCACTCCGGCTGTTGGCCGGGTCCAGTCACTTGCGGCTGTGAGACTGTCGTGCCTGCCTCTCTTCTGGCCGTCAGTGGGTGCTGCTCTCAGGAGCTGGGAGCCGCCCATGTTCTCAGCCTCAGGGTCCCCTTGTCTTCAGCGTCAGCAGCAGAGAACCTGCCTCCCACGGAAGGCCCCTCTTCCTTCGGGAAGAGCCGGTACCCTCTAAAACTCCACCTCATTAGGTCCTTCCCACCCAGAGTCTTCAGGTCACCTGTGCCACAGAACGGAAGCCACGCCCAGGGGTGGCCTCATAGTCACAGGTCCCACCTGCACCCGAGGGCGGAGATTGTGTGGGGGAGGGGCACAGGGGCATCGGGAACCCTGCCCCCCGTCCCCTCCCCCCCGGAGTTCCCGTCTTCATGGGCAGACAGAGTCGCTATTGGAGAAATGTTAGTCTCATACATTCACTATAATTCTAGACTCGGGGCCATTTTCCCCATGAAGTTTGAAAAGCTGATGGAAAAATGCACATGAAAGTGCAAAATCAAGAACAGCTACTCCCTTTCTGTA